CATGTGAAGAAATTGACAATAAAGCTGACTTTGACTTTGACTTTGATACCAATTATCTCGAGTGTTAACGGAAAAGCTAACAGGCTAAACTGAGGTTCTCCTTCCATGAAGCAGCTCTSTTGTCSTCCATCYGCATTTTTYGGTTGCAGGATGAGYCATTTCTACATTCTCCTCTCTGTCAATGTGCTCTGGTTTTATTTAAACAGGCTCATCATCAGAYATTGTCCAATTAACCTTCAGKGTGGATATAGCTTGCAGAGCCTYACCCTCGAACACCTAGTAAACATAAYCATTTACCCAGTATGCTTTGTGGCATTAATAAAAGAGCGCTTTGTGTGTGACAATTTATTTTTGAAAATTTATTAAAAAATAAACAGCCCAGTCTCACAGATGAAGTAAATGTTTATCAAATAATGTCTATTGTTACAACTAGTAACAATAGACATTTCCTTTTGAAGAATTAAAACAGGGATACAACCCAACTTTAGCAGAAAGAGCAGCTTATTGGACTAGCAGAACCAAAAACAGTAACGTAATAAAACARTAAGAGCTTGGGTTTCTACACAGAACCTTTTTGAATCCAAAAATGAATGGTAGAACTTTTTCCAAGATTCAGCATAATGAACAATAGCGTACACTCTGTACAATACACAGTTGAACAGATAGCAGAGGTTTTCAGCTGTTTAAAGGTCAGTCTTGGGTCTAGAAATAACCACACAATGATTCTTTGTGCCAGGAGGGCATTTCTTTAGAATGAAAATACAATATCTAACTTATTTAATGGTCCTCTTTAGGTGGAGGTGGGGGCAATAAAAGAACTTTTAGATATCATGTAGTCCACACTATAAAATATTGAATATGGCTTGGATTAAGATGTTGCTTCCCTCCCCTTCCCTTCCCTTCCCTTCCCTTCCCTTCCGTTCCCTTCCGTTCCCTTCCCTTCCCTTCCCTTCCCTTCCCTTCCCATCTCATACCACTATTCTCTCCTGAGTGCAGTGTATCAGCAATACATGTCAGGAGTCATGTCGAAGTGTGTCTGTTACTGTGGTAAAAATGAACCCTCTGTGGCAGACATGGAAAACTACCATCTMTTACAGTCAAATAGTGGAATATGAGCTGTACTCATGCAATGTAACGTGTCTCACTGTGTGTGTTTGTGTAAGGAGCAGTGTGTGTTCAWGTATGACATTTAAGATATCTTTGTTTGCCGCAAATTTACATATTCACAGAGCAGAACTGACTCAACATCTAGTCAGCACAGCAAGGATTTTATTAGCATTTTATTAGCATTTATGTTCTGTGCTGTAGCTGCTAAACATCTGTAAACAAATTTGTTTGGTTGATTTTTGCCAGAGTTTGCAAAGATTAGATGAGCTACTCACATATTAAATGTATGTGGTGCATATTTATAGGTTTTTTTATTTTTAAAGGTTTTTACAGTCTAGATTTTCTAGTCTTTCTGTGTTACTGTTGTATGAACAGACCACAGTGAGTGTGGCTTGGAATACATTAGTGCTTATGCCATGAAGTGTRTTTGTCAGGACAAGTAACAGCCCTCAGGAAACACGTTCTCTCYACAGTGGTCTTAGTATTATTTCTTTCTTTGGCTTTATCTTTCCTTTTTTTTCTTTTGCATTTCCGCTGGCTGAGCAGAAGCTTTGAGGGTCACGAGGGGGCAAACATGGTAAGTGGGCTTRTGGAGAAATTTCAGATCTGCTGGGAAGACTCAGATTGGGAAAGTACTTTTTCTCCTGCTGAGTAATTACTAAAGAAACACTTTGAAGAGCAACTTCCATTAAAATTTTACTGCATAGATTGATTTTATTTTGATTTGATTTATTTATTTAACAGGAAAAGATTACTAAAAATCAAGCCTGACTCAGCA